ACACACACACACACACACACACACACACACACCAAACATTTCCTGCTCTCTCCGTTCGACAATAAATAGGTTAAATCATCACTAAAACGTCCACCTTTTCCCCTTCCTTTCTGTAGCACGACCATAAGTGCACGCTTGTGAGTCTACAATTATTTAAACGGCGGCGGGCGGAGTTTCGCCGCCGTCTCCCCAGCAAAGGGAATGTGGAAAAGACGGAGGCGCATCACTTCCGTGATTTAAATAGGATGCAATTTATTATTTCCTTTGCGTTTATTAATTAGGGGGAATGATTGTGTTAAGAGGTAGTTAACCTGTGTATGTTTGGGTCGGATAGTTTCCTCATGTTTGAGGGATTACATTTATGTTGACAATGTGGTTTGGAGATAATTGTGTAACCGGTTGACGGTAAGCCTGTGGGGAGGGGCTATGGGTACAAAAGGTACGGTGTTGGCCCTGGAAGAGTCATTCGGCAGAGTGTTGCAGTGAAGGCAACAACTAGGATGTGGTTAGAGGGACAGACAACCTAATTTGGGAAACTGTGATTTTGTTTATTTATGTTATACTGTTTACCTTTTTGTCGAACAGTATATATATATTTTGTGGGGCTGCATTATAAATAAAGTTTGGAGCTTAAACAACCGACTAAGCCTATGTATCGAATAGACAAATAGAACCCCGTCACATATGGTGTCAGAAGTGGGATGGCTAGTAGGAGGAAGCTGGGCGGCATTGCTGGACGGCGTTGGGGAGCGGCGCACGGGACTACGATCCCGGCGTCAGCAGCAGGAGGAGAACGCGGCTGCCCAATCAGAGCATGGGAGACCCCCAGCAGCTCCTATGGCCTCAGGGTCAACCAGTGAACCAGGGGGAGAACTACTCTCACTGATGAAAGACTTTCTATCAGGGCAGCAAAGGCGAGAGGAGTTCCTGTTGGCAGATCTCCGAGACCTGCAGACTTTTGTTCCAGCTGATAATCCGTTGCCTCAATCAGACGCCGATAGCCAGCCTGATCAGCCAACGCCTGAGTAGAGGCACTATGCGGAGCCAACAATTCCACAGTACCAGTGTGGTGAGGATATTGAGAGCTATTTATTGCGGTTTGAGCGCATTACCAAAACGTGGAGGTGGCCAGAAAGGGAGGAGGCATGCCGGCTCGTTCCACTGCTATCAGGGAAGGCCTTGGAGGCCTATACTGCAATGGACGAGGAGAGAGCCCACTGCTATAGAGACCTGAGAGAAGCGTTGCTGACAAAGTTCGACATCTCCCCAGAGACGTATCGGCAGCAGTTCCGGTCCATGGTGGTACCGTCTGAAGAGAGCCCCATCGAGACCTACTATCGCCTTAAAGGTCTCTACCGGTGCTGGATTCAGCCAGAGCAGCACACCAAGGAGGAAATTGCAGAGGCCATCATCTTGGAGCAGATGCTTTGGATACTCCCACCGGAGGTGAGGACCTGGGTGAAAGAGCATGAGCCTACAGAGGGTCTTGCGGCTGCCAAGAGGAGGACCACCTGCATGCTCAACCACTTTTACACCCCAACCAGCACTCCAGCCCAGGCCTGCAAAGAGAGAGAATCGACCAGAGTTCTCAGGATATCCTAGCGCTGCCCCAAACCAACAAGGAGCTGGTAAGGATTTCATTTGCCATTACTGCCAGCAGCCAGTCCAGATAGCTACTGTGTGTCCCCTACGCAAAGCTAAGGTCACAGGCGCTTGCTATGCACCCCGGGCAGAGTTTGGGCCCATTGGGGATCAAGAGGTACGTGTTCAACGTCATAAAGCTGTCACTGTTAATGGCCAGCAGGTCACTGCTTTGTCGGATACTGGTAGCTTCATGTCTCTAGTGAAGCAAAGACTTGTGCCAATTGGAGCTATGGAATACAGCAGACAAACAGACATTTTGTGTGTTCAAGGGGATAAGCATCCCTATCCCAAAGCGGACATATCCCTGATCCTTGATGGACAATCTTACTTGAGTGTGGGGGTGGTACAGAACTTGCCGGTTGATGCAATCCTGGGATGGGATTTACCAATACTCTTGGACTTGCTGTATGGTTTTTCTCCAGTGTGAATACAACAATGCTTTTTGAGTTTACCTTATGTAGTGAAAGTGTTTCCACACTGCACAGCTGTATGGTTTTTCTCCAGTGTGAATACGACAATGTTTTTTGAGATTACCTTATGTAGTGAAAGTGTTTCCACACTTCACAGCTGTATGGTTTTTCTCCAGTGTGAATACCACTGATTTTGAAAATGGTAAATGGACTGTACTTATATCGCGCTTTATCCAGTCTTTAAGACTCCTCAAAGCGCTTTACATACTACATGTCGTTCACCTATTCATACAGAGAACAACTCAGGGTTAAGCATCTTGCCCAAGGATACATCGACATGTTGACTGCATGGGCTGGGATCGAACCCACAACCTTCTGGTTGAAAGACGACCGCACTCCCTCGCAGCCACAGTCGCCCCTGAAAAATACAACTCTTCATATAGCTTTTTTGAATGTCCCATTTTGAGAGAATGGCTTTTCTTTTTTTTTTTACCAAAAATCAACACAATGAATTGGGAATATCTTTTGCTTTTACTATAACCAATGGACTGTAGCTAAAGAGCCACTCAGCCTCCATGTGTCAGTGTTATTCCAGCGCTATTTGTCGGGAAACAGAGGAAATCTAGCTTTCCGTGCGCTAATCCATGTTAATGGTATTTCACTGACACAGATGTGCAGTTCATCTTCACATCATTCAACAGTCGGTGTTGTATTTGTTTGACATGAAAAAGTGTAGAGGGACAACAAAAAAGACATCTTGGAAAAAGCAAGAAATAAGTTCCAATATATTATACTGTAACGCTTTGACAATGCTGCCCAGCGTGAACATGGTCCACGCTCTCTCCCTTGCTACTTTACCAGCACATCAATTAAGCTTTAAGCAAATTATGCACAATCATGGGACCAATATGCACATGATAACAAATGATAGTAATTTTTTAGGTTGTGCAATAGCTTCTTTGATTGGAGTTGGCCAAACAGCCTTTGGTTTTCCACAGCTTTTTTGCTGTACATGGAACCTTGATTTTCACCCAAAGGCAGAGATAATGGTGAAGGCAAGTCTTTCTGGGAACAAATCTCATCTCAGATGGCAATATTCTATATCCATAATATTGTGTAACAGACATTTACTTCATAAGTTGCCACTTAAAAGTAAGCATTGATGCAAATGTGTGTTTAAAGTATAATATAGACAAAGTTAACCTATTAGAATGTGAGACTTTAAAAGGAAACGAGGTGAATTTAAGGGAGCCGTGCTCAGTGTGCTGTGTGGAGATGAGAGCAGACTGCATGTCAGAACTATTCGCCATGGCAACCACAGATGATCTAATTAATTAATGAGCCTTTTACTGCATCACCAGCTACTGTTGGTAATCACTCACACACTGTTTGGCCTGCAGCTAACACACACACACACACGGCCGGTTTGAGGCAAGAAGTGAGCTCTGTGTGTGTGAACCTCAGCCTTCGTCTGAATGAAAGAAGGTTCGGCAAAAATCAATGACATGGGTGTCATAAAAAGAACGTTTATTTTCTTTGAGGGGTTCAGAGCATATGCTCTAGCCTGAGGACTCGAATTAACAGCAATGATTAAAACATGGTAGGCAGAACAAAATATTTAGTTTCAAACAAATAGCAAATCTTACATAACATACTAGGTTTTAGGAACAGTCTAAGAATGCAATAAATGCATAGTTTCCTCTGTTATGGTATATGTTTGTTATGGAAGCTGGTTTCTTAGTTGAATACTAGATTCTGATCGATTCTGGTATTTAGTGGTTCGTTCTTTTTTCCATTCGGAGTAGAGGGTGCTTGGTTTTGGAGGGCTCAACACCAGAATCTTTTCACTAAAATGAACGGCTGGCCAAACATTTCCCTTCTATAGTTTTATGCGTTTCATTTTTTCTTTTCTGTTGTCTCATGGGATCTCTGATACAAATATGCATTTCAATAGTTATTCTCTCCAAACACACAGACAGGCCTAACACCAGCAGAACAAACAACAAAACATGTCACAACTCAGAATAATTGTGTGTGAGCACGCACACACGCACACACACACAATACTATTTTCAACCTGCAGGTTCTTGTTCATAGTTCAATTAAGATCTGTCTAGGTGATAATGAAACTCCTGTGGAGGTCTAATAGTCATATTTACTCTTATGCTTGTGTGTTTAGGTTTGTGTTGATGCAAAGAAAAATGCTGTGCTATTTCAGGGGCGTGTTTTTGTCCGCCTGATCATTGCATAATCAAACATTCATTCCTCATTATGTTGCAAGGGCCAATATGTCTCAGCTGTAGTGCTGTGAGATACAATTATCTCTGTGTGTGTGAATGAATAAGAGGTTTTAATTTCAAATCTATACAAATTCAAATAAGTTAGAGAACACATTTTTCAAACAATTTCCTACATTGAGTGAATTTATAATTCCCCTAAAGAATTTGATTCTTGTGCTTTGTATCTCAAAGTCATTTTGCCAGAGCAACCAAATTACAAGTCAAAATGAGTACTGTGACAAAAGCAGAATGTCCCATATTGACAGTGGTATAGGAAATAACTAATGTTATTTACTTACAATGCACTGTATACTCTTTTACAGGTGGTCTATTGCATTCAAAATGTTATTTACATCTGCCACAACTCCTTTTTGGACATGCTATAAAACAGGAGATTATTTTCATTCAGCAGTTTCAGGATGAAATAATCATTTATTTGGAGTGGTGCTTCTGGTGATAATGTATATCATTTTAATATTCTCTGTCTTTCAGCTCTGTTGTTGTTCTTTACCAACTGTAGGAGCCATGAAACGTGTTTAGTAATCCTTTATGTTTTATATAAAATGTTTGTTTGAGCACTATTGATTGGTTGGCTTGGGTCACATGGATATGGGTGGCACTCATTATAATCCTGTTCACCTGCGTGAGGTGTGTGTGTGTGTGTGTGTGTGTGTGTGTGTA